TGTCCCATTCATATAATATCCAACAAATGTCCCATTTATATAATATCCAACAAATGTCCCATTTATATAATATCCAACAACTGTCCCATTTATATAATATCCAACAACTGTCCCATTTATATAATATCCAACAACTGTCTGCGACTCACTATGGGTACATAATATACTTTGTGTTAATATAAATCCCTCGTTTGATGATAGGTCAGCCAGTGAAAGTACCGTCCGACCCTCGAAAGGTAGTGCCTTCACTGGCTGTTCTAACACCAGCTCGTGAGTTATCCTTTAGATAATCGGCACATGTATAGACGGGAGGTTAATCTTTGGTAGCGGTTATAGACATATGCTATCTCTTATAATCTAAGAAATCAAGTTAAATCCGTGTAGCATTCATAGACAGAATGCAATAAAATAAGTCAGAGGACATCGCTCTATTACATTTATAGACAATGTTTTGGAATGTGACATCCTATGCAATGCCTGAAATAAATAAACATTCAAGTGCTGTGAAATAAAGACTTTTTTTATCGGGCCTATCAAATGTTAATTATTTTCAAAAAGGAAATTCGCAAAATTTGTATACTTTCATAATGAATGGGCAACTTGTTTCAAGCATGATTAACAATCCCAGCAATTAATGTATTTTCTTTAATTCAGTAAATCTTACAGGGACATTTGCCACCATGTTATTTTTCTAATTCTTCATAAATTAACTAAGAATTGCCAATGTGAGTAAATTTTTGACACATAAGAAAAAGCATTCTTATCCTAAATAAAAAACATTCTGGGAAAGGTGACCTCTGCTTTATTTTGATAAGGTCTTGGGCATCTCAATGGTCTCAATCACATTATAGAAACCTACTAAGCTATCGAACTACCATACACATTTACAGTAATGCGATTTTGTTGTCAGGGCGCTAGCCCATCATAAAAGAGGCTCCATAAGCACTGTCACCTGGCATCAAAGTTGTAGAATAGAGCATTTAATTTTGCTTTGCTACCATATATAAGATTCATTTTATTTCTTAGAATATACTTTCTAGTCAACTTTCTTACCACACTCAAACCAACGTATCTAGATAGTGTGCATAATTATCAAGGTACCAACATAACATTCATTCTTACAAGAGGTACCCGTTAAAGAATTTATCAGTTTTAGCCGAACGTTGTAAATGAGTATTATTTTAGTGGTTTTATATACGCCTTCTCCTTCCGGTGTATTTCTATCTATATTTTATATACGTCTTCTACTTCCAGTGTATTTCTATCTATATTTTATATACGCCTTCTCCGTCCGGTGTATTTCTATCTATGTTTTAGATACGTCTTCTCCTTCAGGTGTATTTCTATCTATATTTTATATACGCCTTCTCCGTCCGATGTATTTCTATCTAAGTTTTATATACGCCTTCTCCTTCCGATGTATTTCTATCTATGTTTTTATATACGCCTTCTCCGTCCGATGTATTTCTATCTATGTTTTATATACGCCTTCTCCGTCCGGTGTATTTCTATCTATGTTTTAAATACGCCTTCTCCGTCCGGTGTATTTCTATCTATGTTTTATATACGCCTTCTCCTTCCGGTGTATTTCTATCTATGTTTTATATACGCCTTCTCCTTCCGGTGTATTTCTATCTATGTTTTATATACGCCTTCTCCGTCCGGTGTATTTCTATCTATGTTTTATATACGCCTTCTCCGTCCGATGTTACGGGTTGGCTCAACATATGTGTTAATATTACATATAATAATCACAGTCTGACAGAACAAACCATATTTCTATGAAAATATATTTTATATATTGCTTTGTTTTGAATATATGTGACGATCGAGATGATATACAATGTACATGCTTTTTTTCATATCGATCGTTACAATGTATGACTGAACACGACACAGATTGGATTACAAACCGATCGGTACATTATGATACCATAACAATACTGATTGATTTATAATACCATGTGACAGTACGAAATGGTTTTGTGTAATCAAGTATAAGACGAACGCACATTATCTTAATGTATTCGGTCTTTCATTTTTATATGATGGGTATACGTATTATCGAACACATTTTGGGGCCAAATTCAAATTAACACCAAGTACTGTACATTATATTAGAAAAAAAAAATATACACGGCAAAATATCGACCATGGAAAGTTCTTCTCCTCCGTTCCTTTTCCAAAATCTATCCAAACCACCAGATCCCTAAAAATGGAAAAATACAAAATCCCATGCACAGTTACATATATGTAATGGATAGAGGATCAAGATAAAAATACAAGTCAAAAACATCACAATAAATAAACTAGAATATTCGAACCGAAATAACAAATACAATCCCAAGATTTGATCTTGTGGTAATATTATCCAGAAAACTCTAGGCATTCCTGTGGGAACAAACATTGACCATCTTCTGGTCAACTGGGGTTTTATGAGGCTGAATTAAATGATGAATTTCGACGACGTGGTGTCTTTGTATAACAAGACCAGGTCGATTGTATAAATCCCCGTGAGATTAGCATCAAGATATGTATTGACCAGGTCGATTGTATATATCCCCGTGGGATTAGCATCAAGATATGTATTGACATCGTCGATTGTATCAATTCCCATGAGCTTATCATCAAGATATGTATTGACCAAGTCGATTGTATATATCCCCGTGAGCTTAGCATAAAGATATGTATTGACCAGGTCGATTATATAAATCCCCATTAGCTTAGCATAAAGATATGGATTGACCAGGTCGATTTTATATATCCCCGTGAGCTTAGCATCAAGATATGTATTGACATGGTCGATTGTATCAATTCCCATGAGCTTAGCATCAAGATATGTATTGACCAGGTCGATTGTATAAATCCCCATTAGCTTAGCATCAAGATATGTATTGACCAGGTCGATTGTAAAAATTCCCATGAGCTTAGCATCAAGATATGTATTGACCAGGTCGATTGTATATATCCCCGAGCTTAGCATCAAGATATGTATTGACAAGGTCGATTGTAAAAATTCCCATGAGCTTAGCATCCAGATCTGTATTGACCAGGTCGATTGTATAAATCCCCATTAGCTTAGCATCAAGCTATGTATTGACCAGGTCGATTGTATATATCCCCGATCTTAGCATCAAGATATGTATTGACCAGGTCGATTGTATAAATCCCCATGAGCTTAGCATCCAGATCTGTATTGACCAGGTCGATTGTATAAATCACCATTAGCTTAGCTTCAAGCTATGTATTGACCAGGTCGATTGTATATATCCCCGATCTTAGCATCAAGGACAGTACAAGCTTTTCTACTGCAGACGATTTCCTCGATCGTTATGTACAACATATTCAACAGTGACTACTTACAACTTTGCTGATCAACAAGAGGGGTGATTTCGACCTTCTCGATTGTGATCTTTCTATTTACTGATAGTAAGATTCCTGATAAGGGTTACCCTGGTACCAGTCTGTTTAGACGTAGTACTAGTACCGGTCTGTTTAGACATAGCACTGGTACCGGTCTGTTTAGACGTTGCACTGATACGAGTCTGTTTAGAGGTTACACTAGAAGCAGTATTCTTAAACGTAGCACCGCTACCGGTCTTTGCGTATGTTACTCTGGTACCGGTCTCTTTAGATGATAAACTCTTACCAGTCTGTTAAGAGGTGACACTGGTACCAGTCTGTTAAGAGGTGACACTGGTACCAGTCTGTTTAGACGTAGCACTGGTACCAGTCTGTTTTGAGGTTACACTGTTACCAGTTTAATTAGACGTAGCACTAGTACCGGTCTGTTTATCGGTTACACTGGTATCAGTCTGTGTAGATGTTCCAATGGTAACGATTTTTTTAGACGTAGCACAGGTATCGGTCTTTTAAGATTTGACACTATCACCGGTCTATTTAGATATTATACTGGTACCAGTCTATTTAGACATAGCACTGGTATTGGTCTGTTTAGACATAACAATGGTATCGGTCTGTTTGGACGTAGCACTGGTACCAATCAGTTTAGATGTAGCACTGGTACCGGTCTGTTTCGACGTAGCACTGGTACCAGTCTGTTTCGACGTAGCACTGGTACCAGTCTGTTTAGAGGTTGCACTGGTAACGGTCTGTGTATACGTAGCACTGGTACCGGTCTGTTTAGACATAGCAATGGTACCAGTTTATTGAGACGTAGCACTGATACCGGTCTGGTTAGTACTGGTCTGTTTAGATGTAGCACTGGTACCTGTCTGTTTAGATGTAGCAGTGGTACCGGTCTGTTAAGATGTTACACTGGAACCGGTTTGTTTAGATGTTACACTGGAAGCAGCCTGTTTTGAGGTATCACTTGTACCGGTCTGTTTAGACGTAGCATTGATATAGGTCTGTTTATACGTAGTACTGGTACCAGTCTGTTTAGACGTAGCACTGGTACCGGTCTGTTTAGACGTCGCACTGGTACCGGTATGTGGCATAGCAATGGCACCAGTTTATTTAGACGTAGCATTGGTACCGGTCTGTTTAGATGTAGCATTGGTATCGGTCTGTTTAGACGCAGCACTGGTAACGGTCTGTTTAGATGTAGCACTGGTACTTGTCTGTTTAGACGTAGCACTGGTACCAGTCTGTTTAGACGTAGCATTGGTACCAATCTGTTTAGACGTAGCACTGGTACCGGTCTGTTTAGACGTAGCACTGGTACCAGTCTGTTTAGACGTAGCACTTGTACCAGTCTGTTTAGAGGTTGCACTGATACTGGTATGTTTAGACGTAGCACTGGTACCGGTCTGTTTAGACGTAGAACTGGTACTGATCTGTTTAGATGTTGCAATGGTACCGGTCTGTTTAGACGTAGCACTAGTACCGGTCTGTTTAGACGTATAACTAGTACCGGTCTGTTTACAATTTGCACTGGTACCAGTCTGTTTAGTTGTAGCAATGGTACCAGTCTGTATAGACGAAGCACTGGTACCGGTCTGTTTAGAGGTTGCAATGGTACCGGTCTGTTTAGACGTAGCAATAGTACCGGTCTGTTTAGACTTTGCACTAGTACCGGTCTGTTTAGACTTTGCACTGGTACCAGTCTGTTTAGATGTTGCACTGGTACCAGTCTGTATAGACGTAGCACTGGTATCGGTCTGTTTAGAGGTTGCACTGGTACCGGTCTGTTTAGACGTAACACTGGTACCGGTCTGTTTTGACGTAGCACTGGTACCGGTCTGTTTAGACGTAGCACTAGTACCAGTCTGTTTAGATGTTGCACTGGTACCAGTCTGTATAGACGTAGCACTGGTACCGGTCTGTTTAGACGTAGCACTTGTATCAGTTTATTGAGACGTAGCACTGGCTCCGGTTTTTTTTAGATGTTACAATGATACCGGTCTGTTGATATGTTATACTGGTACGAGTCTGTTTTGAGGTAAAAATGGTACCGGTCTGTTTAGACGTAGCATTGGTATCGGTCTGTTTATACGTAGTACTTGTACAAGTCTGTTTAGACGTAGCACTGGCACCAGTCTGTTTAGAGGTTGCACTGGCACCAGTCTGTTTAGATGTAGCACTGGTACTGGTCAGTTAAGACGAAGCACTGGTACCGGTCTGTTTAGATGTTACACTAGTACCGAATTGTTTACACGCAGAACTGGTACCAGTCAGTTTAGATGTAGCACTGGTACCGGTCTGTTTAGACGTAGCACTGGTACCGGTCTGTTTAGACGTAGCACTTGTAGTGATAACGGTCTGTTTAGACATAGCAATGGTACCAGTTTATTAAGACGAAGCACTGGTACCGGTCAGTTTAGATGTAGCACTGGTACCAGTCTGTTTAGACGTAGAACTGGTACCGGTCAGTTTATATGTAGCACTGGTACCGGTCCGTTTATACGTAGTACTGGTACCAGTCTGTTTAGACGTAGCACTGGTACCGGTCTGTTTATACGTCGCACTGGTACCGGTATGTGGCATAGCAATTGTACCAGTTTATTAAGACGTAGCATTGTACCGGTCTATTTAGACGTAGCACTAGTACCGGTCTGTTAAGACGTAGCACTAGTACCGGTATGTTTAGACGTAGCACCAGTACCGGTCTGTTTAGACTTTGCACTGGTACCGGTCTGTTTAGAGGTTGCACTGGTACCAGTCTGTTTAGATGTAGCACTGGTACCGGTCTGTTTTGAGGTAAAAATTGGTACCGGTCTGTTTATACGTAGTACTTGTACAAGTCTGTTAAGACGTAGCACTGGTACCAGTCTGTTTAGAGGTTGCACTGGTACTGGTCTGTTAAGACGTAGCACGCGTACTGGTCTGTTTAGAGGTAAAAATTGGTACCGGTCTGTTTATACGTAGTACTTGTACAAGTCTGTTAAGACGTAGCACTGGTACCGGTCTGTTTAGACGGAGCACTGGTACCGGTCTGTTTAGATGTAGCACTGGTATCGGTCTGTTTAGACGTAGCACTCGTACCGGTCTGTTTAGACGTAGCACTGGTACCAGTCTGTTTAGACGTAGAACTGGTACCAGTCAGTTTAGATGTAGCACTGGTACCGGTCTGTTTAGACGTAGCACTGGTACCGGTCTGTTTAGACGCAGCACTTGTAGTGATAACGGTCTGTTTAGACATAGCAATGGTACCAGTTTATTAAGACGAAGCACTGGTACCGGTCAGTTTATATATAGCACTGGTACCGGTCTGTTTAGACGTAAAACTTATACCAGTCAGTTTATATGTAGCACTGGTACCGGTCTGTTTATACGTAGTACTGGTACCAGTCTGTTTAGACGTAGCACTGGTACCGGTCTGTTTATACGTCGCACTGGTACCGGTATGTGGCATAGCAATGGTACCAGTTTATTTAGACGTAGCATTGGTACCGTTCTGTTTAGACGTAGCACTAGTACCGGTCTGTTTAGACTTTGCACTGGTACCGGTCTGTTTAGAGGTTGCACTGGTACCAGTCTGTTTAGACGTAGCACTAGTACCGGTCTGTTTAGACTTTGCACTGGTACCAGTTGTATAGACGTAGCACTGGTACCAGTCTGTTTAGAGGTTTCACTGGTAACGGTCTGTTTAGACGTAACACTGGTACCGGTCTGTTTTGAGTAGCACTGGTAACGGTCTGTTTAGACGTAGCACTGGTACCAGTTTATTGAGACGTAGCACTGGCTCCGGTTTGTTTAGATTTTACGATGGTACCGAATTGTTTACACGTATAACTGGTACCAGTCAGTTTAGATGTAGCACTGGTACCGGTCTGTTTAGATGTTACACTGGTACCGAATTGTTTAGACGTAGAACTGGTACCAGTCAGCTTAGATGTAGCACTGGTACCGGTCTGTTTAGATATTACACTGGTACCGAATTGTTTACACGTAGCACTTGTACCGGTCTGTTTACACGTAGCACTGGTACCGGTCTGTTTAGATATTACACTGGTACCGAATTGTTTAGACGTAGAACTAGTACCGGTCTGTTTAGATGTAGCACTGGTACCAGTCAGTTGAGATGTAGCACTGGTACCGGTCTGTTTAGACGTAGACCAGTCAGTTTAGATGTAGCACTGGTACCGGTCTGATTAGACGTAGCACTGGTACCAGTTTATTGAGACGTAGCACTGGCTCCGGTTTGTTTAGATGTTATGGTACCGGTCTGTTTAGACGTAGCACTGGTACCAGGTTATTGAGACGTAGCACTGGCTCCGGTTTGTTTAGATTTTACGATGGTACCGAATTGTTTACACGTATAACTGGTACCAGTCAGTTTAGATGTAGCCCTGGTACCGGTCTGTTTAGATGTTACACTGGTACCGAATTGTTTAGACGTAGAACTAGTCCCGGTCTGTTTAGATGTAGCACTGGTACCAGTCTGTTTAGACGTAGCACTGGTACCAGTTTATTGAGACGTAGCACTGGCTCCGGTTTGTTTAGATGTTACAATGGTACCGAATTGTTTACACGTAGAACTGGTAACAGTCAGTTTAGATGTAGCACTGGTACCAGTCTGTTTAGATGTAGCACTGGTACCGGTCTGTTTAGACGTAGACCAGTCAGTTTAGATGTAGCACTGGTACCGGTCGGTTTAGATGTTACACTGGTACCGAATTGTTTAGACGTAGAACTCGTACCGGTCTGTTTAGATGTAGCACTGGTACCAGTCTGTTTAGATGTTACACTGGTACCGAATTGTTTACACGTAGCACTTGTACCGGTCTGCTTACACGTAGCACTGGTACCGGTCTGTTTAGATATTACACTGGTACCGAATTGTTTACACGTAGCACTTGTACCGGTCTGCTTACACGTAGCACTGGTACCGGTCTGTTTAGATATTACACTGGTACCGAATTGTTTAGACGTAGAACTAGTACCGGTCTGTTTAGATGTAGCACTGGTACCAGTCAGTTTAGATGTAGCACTGGTACCGGTCTGTTTAGATGTTTCACTGGTACCGAATTGTTTAGACGTAGAACTCGTACCGGTCTGTTAAGATGTAGCGCTGGTACCGGTCTGTTTAGACGTAGCACTGGTACCGGTCTGTTTAGATGTTTCACTGGTACCGAATTGTTTAGACGTAGAACTCGTACCGGTCTGTTAAGATGTAGCACTGGTACCGGTCTGTTTAGACGTAGCACTCGTACCGGTCTGTTTAGACGTAGCACTTGTACCTGTCTGTTTAGATGTAGCACTGGTGCCGGTCTGTTTAGACGTAACACTGGTACCAGTCTGTTTAGACGTAGCACTGGTACCAGTCAGTTTAGACGTAGTACCGGTCTGTTAAGATGTAGCGCTAGCACTGGTACCGGTCTGTTTAGACGTAGCACTCGTACCGGTCTGTTTAGACGTAGCACTGGTACCAGTTTATTGAGACGTAGCAATGGCTCCGGTTTGGTTAGATGTTACAATGGTACCGAATTGTTTACACGTAGAACTGGTAACAGTCAGTTTAGATGTAGCACTGGTACCAGTCTGTTTAGATGTTACACTGGTACCGAATTGTTTACACGTAGAACTGGTACCAGTCAGTTTAGATGTAGCACTGGTACCGGTCTGTTTAGATGTTATACTAGTACACCAGTCAGTTTTGATGTAGCACTGGTACCGGTCTGTTTAGATGTAGCACTGGTACCGGTCTGTTTAAACGTAGCACTCGTAGCAGTCAGTTTAGATGTAGCACTTGTACCGGTCTGATTAGACGTAGCACTGGTCCCAGTTTATTGAGACGTAGCACTGGCTCCGGTTTGTTTAGATGTTATAATTATACCGGTCTGTTGATATGTTATACTGGTACCAGTCTGTTTTGAGGTAAAAATTGGTACCGGCCTGTTTATACGTAGTACTTGTACAAATCTGTTAAGACGTAGCACTGGTACCGGTCTGTTTAGACGTAGAACTGGTACCAGTCTGTTTAGAGGTAGCACTGGCACCAGTCAGTTTAGATGTTACACTGGTACTGAATCGTTTACACGTAGAACTGGTACCAGTCAGTTTAGACGTAGCACTTGTACCGGTCTGTTTAGACGTAGCACTGGTACCGGTCTGACTGGTACCAGTTATACGTCTAAAGTCCCAGTACAGTACATGTACTGTACTGGGACCGTGCTTCGGTACCGGTCAGTTTCGATGTAGCACTGGTACGGGTCTGTTTAGACGTTGCACTAGTATCGGTCTGTTTATACGTCGCACTGGTACCGGTACCGAATTGTTTACACGTAAAACTGGTACCAGTCAGCTTAGATGTAGCACTGGTGCCGGTCTGTTTAGATGTAGCACTCGTACCGGTCTTTTTAGACGTAGAACTCGTACCGGTCTGTTTAGGTCTGTGTATACGTAGCACTGGTACTGGTCTGTTTAGACGTTGCACTAGTATCGGTCTGTTTATACGTCTAAATAAACGGGTTCTATCGCTATGCCACATACCGGTACCAGTGCTCCGTCTAAACAGACCGATAACAGTGCTACGACTATACAGAATGGTACCAGTCCACCCTCTAAACAGACCGATACCACCAGTGCAACCTCTCAACAGACCGGTACTAGCGCTTCGTCTAAACAGACCGATACCACCAGTGCAACCTCTCAACAGACCGGTACTAGTTCTACGTCTAAACAATTCGGTACTATTGTAACATCTAAACAGACTGGTACAAGTGCTACGGGTAAACAATTCGGTACCAGTGAAACATCTAAACAGACCAGTACCAGTGCTACGTGTAAACAGACCGGTACAAGGGCTACGTCTAAACAGCCCGGTACTAGTGCTACGTGTAAACAGACTGGTACAAGTGCTACGTGTAAACAGACTGGTACCAGTGTTACGTCTAAACAGACTGGTACCAGTTCTAAGTGTAAACGATTCAGCACCAGTGTAACATCTAAACAAACCGGAGCCATTGCTACGTCTCAATAAACTCTAAACAGACTGGTACTAGTGCTACGTCTAAGCAGACCGGTACTAGTGCTACGTTTAAACAGACCGGTACCAGTGCTCCGTCTAAACAGACCGATACCAGTGCTACGTCGAAACAGACCGGTACGCAGTGCTACGTCTAATCAGACCGGTACCAGTTCTACGTCTAACCAATTCAGTACCAGTGCTACGTATACACAGACCTAAACAGACCGGTACAGGTGCTACGTCTAAACGTACAGTACATGTACTGTACTGGAACCGTGCTTCAAACGACAACTCTGATACAGTACATGTACTGTACTCGGACCGTGCTTCTAACGACAGCTCTGGTATAGTACATGTACTG